AATGTGGCCCAAGCTAAACTTCGGCATGCTTGTGCTCTTGTGCGCGCACGTTCTTGCATAGTCAGTTGAGTAGCACGCAATCGGCTCCAGGAACAATCTGATAGAAATGAACTTTATTCCAGACAAACGAAAGGCATAAATGCTTGTGCGCGGGGTTGGGGTGATAGGGACCTCCAAACCCAAAAATGATGCAACGACGGCTTAACGAGTTGAACCCAAATCCATTTTGAGCCGGAACGGAGGTCTGGATTTACTTTGTCTGGGCTTGAAATCCTTCAGCCCCGACCCCCATCTCGCGCCGAAGCCGGTCTAAAAAGATGTTGTGTTGGACATCCCTGCCAGAACCTCCATCTCGAGCCGAGAGCAAGGGGTCTGGATTTTGGACTTTGGAGTGGTATTCCGAAGCGCACGAGCTGGTCTATGCTTGTGCATTTTTCCGGGCTTCCCATCTTGAGCTGAGAACGAGGGTTTGGATTTGCTCTTTGGGCTTGGAAATCCTTCAACTCAGACAGAGCTCTGAAATGGATTTTTGGGGCTTAAGGTCCTTAAATGCGCTCTTGGGGGCTGGAAATCCTGGAACCCGACCCTCCATCTCGAGCCGAGGACACGGGTCCGGATCTGGTATTTTGGATTCGAAATGCTGGAGCCCAAATCCTGGGTAAGGATTTTGCCTTTCGGGCTGGAAATCCCTCAACTGTCCAAGGCGCTCTCTCTCCCCCTCCTGCACTCTTGTTTGGGATGGGGTTGCTCTTTGTCTACGGTAATCGCTGTGCCGGCCCACTCCTACGGTCTCATCCCAAGCCCTGGAGTTGTGTGAAGAGCCCAAGCCAGCCACACTGTTCAATGGTCAAGCGGCAGATTGGAAGAGTCTAGAGTGGGTTGCTAAGCCAACAAATCGTAGCAGTGATAGTCAGAGGCCGTTTCCACGACCAAGCTGCATTAGTAGCTAGGCACACATCTCGATTTGCTTACTCCACCAAGAGCATATGTGCAGTCTCTACACGAGATTCTGGAGAAGACAATATTAAGCCGACACATATCTCCGATCGGTAAGCACCATTTCGACAAGCCAGGCGCAGTAGCAGGTAGCTGGCAGAGGTGGATAGGCTTATTCTACGAAGAGTATGAGCACGCTTGGGTGAAATACTGTTCGACTCATGTGTTACTTATACTTTGTTGGACAGACATGCTGGAACCTGCACCAGTCCACAAACTACCAAATTCGTTGTGTCATGCGGGGTGTGCACACGCGGTTGAATCATGACTCCTGGCTTGCTCAACCTGCCAGCACACAAATCATGGGTACATGAGGGGGGTAGCATATGTATATATATATATATATACTATCACACCGAACGAAAAGTGATGGCAACATTTGCACCGGTACCCTTGTAGTTCAGGCAGGCATTATGGCCCAGGCTCGGGCTGTCTGGGAACAGTTTTCGTCCATCCCACCAAAAGCAGCAAGACAACAGCATCGACCAGAGTGGCTTGACTAAGGACAGTTGGCAGAAACAAACAACATCTTCAAAGAGGTGGCCAGCACGAAAACCGTCGGACAGCGTTCGTCAGTGAAAAAGCAGCAAGTACAAGAAGGAGTGCAGTCCCTAGTCCCGGTGCCAAAGGCAAGCCCAGGGGCATGCTGTGCTTTAAGACTTTTAGACCGACAACCATGTTATGACGAGGGCCGAAGGTCTGCCTGTGCCGCAGTTCTTGAATCTGTTCCTCGAGTCGATGGATGCGCGAGTCCACCTGCCGAGTCACAGAGTCTTCCGCCTCTTCCCTGCCGATCACACCACTCGCAAAACAAGATAGCATCTTCGGTTGTGAGCTCCAGCTCCCAGCATCAAAGCTACAAAACTTGCCGGCATCTCGGCCATCTCTCTGCCCACAGGCAGTAGGGGAGATCCCATACGCACACCTCCCTTCCAGCGGTCTTGAAGATCTAATCATCTCAACATGCGCTCCACTGCCACTGTTTCGACACCTCCATCGACGGGACTGCAGAAGGATCACCTGGCCGGATTCCGCGATTCTGGGCTTCTCGCCACAAGGGCCTGCTGTTGTGACCGAAGCGCAAAAGATCGAGAACCTGGCATGGTTGAAACCTCTATGGCGACTCTATGCTCTTTCTATGGTTTACACCTCTGCTTGCGTAAGTTTCGCTGTGTTCTTTCCGAAGCTGGTTGTGAAACAAGGAAGATCGAGACCCCACATGAGCTGAGCTGACAAGGTTGTGGACACGCGACCAATCGAAACATACTGACCCAGCGGCGGTGAAAGTGCCCTGATTCTGGCTGTGCTAAAACCGGAGCAGGCAAAGTAGGCAGGAGGTATCATCGCATCGAGATTCTGCTTTTGGCCTATCCAGTCCATGCCACTCAACTCCACTCAGGGACGGGTCGTCTATATTTACATGCAGCCACCGGTCCAAGGCGAGGCCCCAGAGACCTGCGAGTTGACGATGAACAAAGCCATGAGATGGCGCCTTGTGCCTCCCACAAACCGCAAGAGGCCACAAATGGCCGCAACAGTCTGCTCCGGTTGCACCGGCCTCTTCTTTGTCTGGTAGTTTGTGAAGGCACCTGCTCAATCAACGGATGAACTCGATGTGCAAGAATGCGAGGTTGATTCAAGGAGCTGTCAAGCTGGAGGTACTTGTCCGAGGACATCTGTGGCACCTCAGCCAAAGTAACTGCACCACAGCGCTTCTAAAGAATCCCCTGCAAGCTTTCCCCGCCTGGGCGAAGCTGTTCCTTCGCAGGAACTGGCGCATTTGCAGCAGCAAGTCCTGCCGTCTCAGTCATGCCACCAGACCAGGCTCCCCAAATCCTCTCTCCAAGATCTCCCTACTGCACGTTCCTCGCAGGAGATGGTGGTGCTAACGACATGTCGGAAAGCCGTGGTCATGGCCCCTGCTGCCTGCGAGCTGTGCATATTTCCAAAGCCAAGCGAAGCTGAACACTCCAAGCCACCATCTGCCTTGTGAGCAGAGCTTCCCGACCTCCGTGAAATCAAACTGGCAGTCTGAAGCTACAGGTGTGTTGCGGTGGCCCCCTTCTTGCTGTCCAGGAAGTCCGTATGTCTTATGTTTGTGCAGCAAAAGCCCATGAATTGGACCCTGTATGGTCTGGGATTGTGTGTGCGCTATGCACTCATCGATGCTGCAGTAGAACCAAGAGTCGAGATGATAGCATGCAAGGAAGCAACATTCAAGTAGTGCTGAATTGTTTGACAAACACGGAGCTCACTCTAAACCAGTATTCAAAACGCGTGGGTCCCGCATCCAATACGTGCATAACAATCCACAGCTCAATTTTGCTACCGAGACTACGTGCGAAACATGAGTCTTGAACTAGCAAGCTATTGATACTTCATTCTCAACGAGGCAACTGTTCACAGCATGTACAGGATTGAACTACCTTCTAAGTCAGTAGTATTGCATTAATCCATTTTCAACAAGCGTTGATGAGTGTAAGAGTGTTCAGCACGTGCTCATCAAATTCCTGCCTGGCATCCAACTAGATGCCACAAGAATCGCAAGTGAATAATGGCCACAGACATAGAGATGTGTGGGCAGCACCTGTTCGTTCCTACTGTATGAAGATAAGATAAAAGGAATGCAATGATCAACACAACACTCCTCTCTGTGAAGTGCATTGCCGGGGAGCAGACTGGATGTCGGCACTCGTTTGGTCATCTTTGCACCCCGAGATCATTACAACCTGCGGGCTTCGCAGAAACGGCAATGTAGTCGGCAATTCTGAGAGTGACTACAAGTGCCTCTCCCTTCGCTGGTGCGGCTGGCCGACCGCTTGGACGTCGGTGACGACTCCTGCGCATGGGACAAGGGCACAGGCTGAACCGACTCAAGCCAGGAGGCAGCTTTCGGCGTAATCATTGCTAAGAGCCTCAGCTTCGTGCATCGCAACCTTTTCGAATCCTCAGCAGGTGATGACTAAGGCCGAAAAATTGACTTCAAATGACTTCACAGCTCGCTACAGCCCCAATGCCCTTCTGCTGTCAGCGCATGTTACTTGTACCAAACCCCTAGCTTTGGCCCCAAGCACGCTGGAGGGAACCACTGGTTGTGCAAGATGTCATGGCATCTTGCAAGTGGAGCAGGATACTAAAAGCCAAATAGCGGTGGCTCCTCCAATAAGATTCCCACGGGCTCAAAAGCACACGACAATGTCAAACAGTATTATCATTATCATTGTCATGATGTGATCATTAATTACACTCATTTGTTTCTGTCGTGCTCGATTTGCGCTCATGGAGCGCCGCTACAAAGACCCGACAGAACCCCGTGACAGTCGGGGCAGTCGTCCCCTATCACCCTGCTTGGTCTCGGCAATAGTAGCATTTCCGCGAGCGAGAGGGTATAAAATTCTGAAGTATTTTGATTGCTGCATAACGGCTAGCCATTGTCTTCCTTCAGTTACGACGGGCGACAACAGCACCAATCATCTATCACGTGCGGCTGAACAATCAACCGCAAACAAGTGCCTTTGTCCAAAAGTCAAGCGCAAGAATGTGCTTTTGCTGTGGCATTCTGAAGGCAACTAGTCGAGAAAGCAATCAGCGCCCTTGAAGCACCTGCCGGCCATCAGAACACTACGGCAGTCCACATCACCGAAAAGGGCGAAGCATCGAGGCACACTAATCGAAAATCAAGTCAATCGCAGCAGCGCCTTTGGCTGCACGGTTTCGCACGCGAACACGCGAGCAATGGGGCCCCGAATGGGGGGGATATTTCATGCACATGGCAGGAGCCAGATCAACAGCTTGTCCCGAAGAAAACTAATTATCTTTGTTGGACACCGTCTATACCTGCGACGTCAAACGTCCACAGTGCTCTTCACTCTGAGGCAAGCGCCGCGGAAGCGGTCACCTAACACATGGGTAGTTGTCAAAATTATGGTCCCTTCTTGGGTACCCTAAACATTAGGTGCCGAATCATAATAGGGACTCAAAAGGGGACCCTAGTTTGAACATCATCATGCGGCCAGTGACATTGCGGCAAGCCCTGGTGCCGCCTTGAAAGCAAGGTCCAGTGCTGTCCCACTGTGGCAACAATCGAAGATCACCCACAGGCGGCAGCCCTCAGGGAAGTACTGGATACATTGCTCATGAGCGAATTACACGAAGGTTGCGCCTCTGGCAAGTGCTCGACCAGCAGGCTGTGAAGATCGTCGTCACTGATCTGCCCTCAGGACATTGGCTAAAAGATTCGACATACCACACTCATGTCGCAAGTCATCGCTGTAGCCTGCAGTCTGGAAGTCGCACGGAATCAGGGTGTCATCCTGCAGACCAGGCGAGAGCCACATAGACTCACATAGAGATAGAAAGGCGCTCGCTGAGTCGCTGAGCGAGCGCCTGGCCGGTGATTTCATCTCCACTCCGATCGGCAGCGCGGCCACCATGACCTCAGGACGCAGTGGTCTTTGCAGCCGTCGAGTTCTGGCGCTCGGGTGCACTTTGTCAGCGAAAGAGAGGCGCGGACCGCTGTAGTGCAGAAACAGCTCGTCTCCGCTTCCGACTCCCTGCTTGCGGATGCTCCCCATGTGCAAGTCTCTGAGAGGCTACGAATCTGACCGGACCAGCCTTGGTTAGCCAACGCATGGCATTTAGCATGTTGGCCTCTTGCACACAGTCAGGCTTATGGGCTTCACTCTGCGATACTCTGTGCGCACTTCAGGGCCTTCGTCGGCATCATGTTTGTGCGGTCATCCCGCAGTCGACAAATCTGGCCGTCCTCGAACTTGAAGGTCTCCTGAGGCACTGGCACGCAGAAAAGGGCTCCAACTGCCCAGCGAAGGACTCCACTAGACAATATCGACTCCATCCCACTCCTTCAAGACAGCGATCATGGTCTCAGAATCGTTGATGCAGCCTGACAGCCGTCCTTGACCTCCACGAGTCGAGCACCCAACTGCATCACAGCTGTAAAGATTCGACTGCCCGCCTGGGGTCAACGAAAAGTAGTTAATGCCTTGAGCACAGATGAGTGACACAGGCAGTCAGCCCCTGCTTGCTCAGCACATCACCAATAGTCAACGCGCGGCGCTGTGTACTTCGAAGCCTCGAAAGGTCGCACTCCACCAGGTCACGGGCGGAACCATCGCTGAGAGCCGCACGGTGCAGGGGGCTGTGCAACAGGAGGGTCTGCCTCCGCGGCATGACACAGCAGGCGCTTGGTGCATGCTGGCTCCGCACGCGCCACAAGACCTGTCATCAGCCTTGCACTACTCAAAAGCATTAACGCATCATGACAGTCGCTCTGGCCGCTAGTACTCCCGAGACATAACACGGTGTTGCCAACACTTGGGACAAGACGGAGCCTCGGGCAGGAATGGCTCCTCAAAGTTCAAATGGAACTCCATGCACAGCTGAGGCACCTGCCAGTGCACTTGCATGTCAGCATTCTGGGACAACTCATCTTCGCGTAGGCTGATCCCCGTGCAAAATATCATATACTGCCCCTGGCGACCGCTCCTCAAACGTACCCTGCCACTCTAAGATACGCCACATTGGCCCTGGAACGGCCGACCAAAAGCGAACGCGGCCGAGACCGCGTGACAATCTCGGAGGCACTCTTCTCTTTCAGAGATGTAGGCGGGGCGAAGCTTCTGGGACCTTCCCTGTCGAGAATCTCTGAGCCCTGTGCATCCGAATATATCCGAATCGAAACTGCAAATGCTACCCTGATGGCCAAGCGAACTTGCACTCGTCTGCCCTGGGTGCACGTTATCACGAGAAACTCTGAAGGGACGCTTCCTGTATCACCAGAAATATCCAGTAACGCATGTCGGATGCCTGATCAAAATTATGCTGCTTGAGAAAGCTCCGCATTTCAAGCAGAAGGTGGTGATACCTGACAGAAGCTGAATTGGGACAAAAATCTGTGGTACATCGTCCGAGCATCCCGCGAAATGTCTCTCTTCTTCGAAATCACCTTTCTGAAAGCCGTAGTCATCGCACCTTCAACAGAATTGACCCCGATTCGTCGCAAAACGAGATGCATGAAATCAGGTGCGCCTGCGGCCTTGTTTCCAGCGACTCCCCCCGAGATGTCAGCGCTCGTCTGGACGTCTCTACAGCCTGCGCAAGCCACGTGGAGACTGTTCATCGGGTTGGCACCCGGTGATATCCGGCGAAGCTGCAATTGTCAGGGGACTTGAATCAATGACAGTACCGTCTGCCTGACAGCAGCACAACTTCAGCTCCCGTCGGATGCCTCCGCCTGGAGTCAGCAAGCGGCATGAAGGCATTGGGTCAGCATGGAAACTAATGCAAAGAAACTGCAAGCCAGTGGGGGTTGGGCGAAAGCGATCAGCAGAAGAAGTGGAATATCCGTGTGGCAGGGTGACATCATAGCAGCACTATGCACTTCCACAAAGAAGAGCATAAGCAAGCATCTTCTTGCATCTCTTCGATAACAAAAACAAGTACCCACAAACAGGCGGAGTTTTAGATTGAAGAACTTATCCGCGCGACGCGCAGCATGTCGGTGACGGGTTTTCATAGATTCAGTCTGTCACCGCCAACCCTGACCTTCCAAGCGAACTCGCGCACTGACGGACAAGCTGGAACGGAAGCCAGAGACGACTGCATCCTGCCCCAGGTGCTTCTGTGTGTGCGTGCCAAGCATTGCGACTCTTGCGTCGATCCCTCGAGTGTCAATACGCTTCCAAGCACAGGCTGAGCTGCAAGATGCCGGGATGAGATCTTCTGTGCTATACCAGCGGCCTGCTCGAGACTGCCCGGATCGTCAGAGAGCCGTCGTGCAGAACTCTGGCCTTCTGTCAGTTCTCTGTCAGTTCTTCTCGGCTCCCAGACAGGCCCCAGTGGCCGGGTGCCTTATAGCTGAGGTCCATTCCTGTCCCACTGTGACCTCCAGTGGCCGGACTGACGCAGTTCGAGCGAAGGCCGACATTGACTCTGACATCGCCGAGCGGCAACAGTCCATGATCACTGTCAGGCGGCAACCCTTTGGCAGCCCGTCGACAAGCATTCTCCTGCAGTTGAAGCTGCTTGCGCTGGATCCATCGGCACAACGAATCATGGCGTCCTGAGCTCATCATCAGCGATCATGCCAGACCTGTTGAAGTCGCAAGGCACGATGGTTTCGTCCTCCGCAGCCAACGAAGGACGGTGCTGTGCCGGCTGTTCTGCGTTGTGTCATGGAGCGAGGTTGCAACGGCCGCAACCACCGACTAGGGACCCGGCTTTGCCATCTGCCTCGTCGCCACTTGAATCACGTCTTTGAGAACCGTGGCCGCTGTAGTGGAACAAGAGATGGTCCCCTGGCGCTGTACTGCGAAGGTGCAAATACGAAAGGCGCCTTGGCCTGCTTGGGTCATCAGGTTGAGGGTTACACTGAGATGCGGCTGGTCTCAGTACATGTGACAAGCGGACAGCAATGGTAGAAGGAGGCAGGAATCCAGGGTCCTAGGACGCACCATGGGATTCGACGTCGGCAGCTTCAAGCGTATCACGGTACCACGAATCGCTCACGCGTTCGTAATCCACCGTGCTTCCGAGGTTCAAGTTGGCATCCGCTGCCCTCCCCTGCATCTGCAACAGTGCCTGCAGCAGCACCCTTCACCAGCCACTGCAAGGCAGCGGATATATTCCTGGGCGATTGACACTGGCATCACAACTCACTGCGCCAACAGACTGTGCTTGTGCAGCTTTGGAGCTTTCTTGTCGGCATCCGCTGCCTAGCCAGTGCCGGTGGTCAAGCTCACTCCATTGAACCCAGCTGATTGATTGAAAATGAATGCGTTGATCCCAAGATTTGATCTCCCGCGCTTGACTCTGTGAAGCATGTCAATCGACAAGCGTTGAAAGGCCATCCTGTGGCTCACAGCTGAGGTCAAAGCGGATGGTCGTCTCGGAGCTGACGGATGTCCGACACGCTGAAGCCGAAGTCCTGTGAGACTGCATGTTCCAGCATGCAAACATGCAGTTCGCTGAAGCCTCGGTGAGGAGCGTGATGAAGGTGTCGGAGTCGTTGATGCAACCACGGAGCTCGTTCTGTCACAGATTCCGTGGAATCGGGGATCTGGGTCAGAGGAGTTCAATCTCTGGCATATTTCGAGGCTCCCTGGGCCAGGAAATGGAATTTCTCGAGTCTTTTCGGCATCGCCTCCGTGCCGATGTAGTTGACCCCGACGGTTACAGCCCGCCTGCAGGGACCACAGCACCACAGCACGTGAGGTCGATTTCTCTACCAGCGCCTCTGCCCAGACACGTGAAGTTTCACTGCAGTTTCCTGCTTCGCCGGCTTGGACTCTGACGGCGCAGCCTCCGCGCGTGCGCGGTGCGACAGTAACCATGAAACATGTTCAAACCCATGGACCAAGCGATCCTGGTGGCTGGGAGATGTCGTTTGTCCGGCTTGACCGCCGGAGATTTGCACGTGCTGACTATGCTGAGGCGCCATTGGTGCCATGCCAAGGCCTCTCATGCATGGCATGGCAAAGCCAGAACAGGCCGGAACGGTCTCCGCTCTCCGTTCGCCTGAAAGGTGATATGTGTAGCCGCTGTACGGTTGGTACAGCTGCTGAAACCTGAGCCGCGACGCGAGGCAAAGACAGGCTGACCTTCACATCTACATATTTCCCTCGCGGCCACCAAGTAGCCCATTCGCGCTGTACATGCCATAGCTACCATAGCTGCCATGAGCACCTGAAGGCTATGGTCGAGTGAACATGAAGCGAGCCTGCCAACCACCCCAGAGTCCAGCCTTGACCATACATGCCTCAAGCACTGCAAGGCTGCTACAGCTGTTCACGAAGTTTGCCTGCGACGCCTGCCTGGGGAGCCATAACTCGCAAGAGCATAGGGCCCATGATGCCCGTGGGATCCGTAGCTCGCAAGTTGGGAGGCATAGGGTCCGTGATGGCCGTACTGGTGGTGACCGCTGTAGTGCTGTTGGTTCTGGTAGCTTCCCACTTCCCTTGGCGCCTGAACAAGATCACTTTGAGATAGACATCCAGCAAGGGACAGGATCAGATGCGGTTCTGCCTCAGGAATTTCATCCAAATGATCCCCATCCGTCTCCTGATGGCCAAACGGTTCCAGGAAAAACTGATTGTCGCATGAGGTGTGCGGACGAACCTCTGGAGCCAGCAAACCGTCATCATCCTCTGGAGGTGCCTGTGCAGGCTAAACGCTAGTCAGTCTAGTCGTCTGTGCATTTGGAGTGGCACGACATGTCAGTGGTACCTCAGTTGTGTCCTCAAGCGGCAGCTTGCCGAACTCCTCGATACATACAGATGGGAATGTGCAGAATGCCAAATTTCGAGGGTGATGGATAGATATGCTTCCGTCCAACATGCTGAGACGAGAGCATCACGCTCTGGTGGCGCCAGCATCTCTTCCAGCCTGTGCCACACTTCGGCTGCAGCATGCTGCAGCAAGAGACTGAAACAACTGACGCTGCGTCCCAGACAATCCGTGCGTGTCCTCAGCACTGTGCATTCTCAGCCGCCGTGCGTAGCGTAAAGCAAACGGAAATGCGCTCCTCTGCCGGAGCTTCTGGAAGAGGGGCACCGTACTCCGAGGCAGCCACCATCTGTCATGTGCTGGTCACGTCTGAATGAACTTGACCGCATTTGAGGATGCACTTCTCTCCTTCCAGCCGGTCGACCGAAGGATCCAAGGATAGCAACCGCTCACTGGTCGTCGAGATTCGTCCGTTGTACAAAATTGTCTCGAGAGCGACCCGGCCAAGGTTTCGGCCATGGATCATACGACCTGTCTTTCCGAAGTTGAAACTTACCCCTTATGCCGGAGTCGGCGCCTAAGCTTGCCTTTTCTGAGCGTGTTGGGACCTGCCGCTGCCGTCTCTCTTTGCTTTGAAGCCTTCTGAACCCGTCGATCTCCTCTTGACCACAGAACGGCCAAAGAAGCGCAGAGTAGCGGGCCACGAACCCCTAGCCCCACGATGAGAGGCGCATCGCCAAGCTAAAGGGCGCAAAAAGACTCTCGTCACACAAGTTTGTCTAAAGTGCATCTGTGACATCATTCTCCCCAACGGAGGCCTTGCCACCCTCCGCCGGTGCTTCCGTAGGCGGCGGCAGCTGTGCTGAGAGTTTGCCCACGGACGCCTGCTGTGAAGGAACTCCCCTAGATGCAGAAAAACAGAGCCTGAAACTCTCCCAAGGCGGCCATCGCCATCCCCGTCGCTTGATTTCGCTCGATTTCGGCCTCGCCCGCACCGGCACCGACCCGTCCTGGAGCGAACGACAGGGGCTGGAGCTTTGGGTCGGGACAATGCCGGGTGCCCTGCTTCCCCCAGTCGCAGCCGTGACCTCCGGGTGTCGCAACAAACTACACTTAGACTTGTGACTAGAGCCTCCTCGACCTGCAGTGTGGGCCTGCATCGCGTGGGGCACAGCTGCCGGCGGCGGAGTACCTGGTGTCACGTGTGGGCCCATGTCTTGTCTCACAGCGGCCAGTCGCTGTTGTATGCTGTAGTTGAGGGGGCACGCATAACGTGCTCCACAAGCCTGTATACCTTGCACAGGCACGAGCATGTCTTCTGCCAATTTGTTGTGTTCCGACACCACGGGGAGAGACAGGTCGAGGTCGAGTCTGTGTCCGGAGCCTTCTGAGCCGCCCAGTCCAGCAGTCCCGATTTCCATTTTGTTTGGGGGAAAACTCCGGGTAGTTCTCATCGCAGACGCATCGGCAACAGGTTCGATTTTCACTTGCTGGCCGTGCGGGATTCCGGCCTCCAAAGATTGCGCCCCACTTCCAAGACTTTCGAAGACACCGCGCAGGTCCGCAGAGCTGTACTGCATGCCTCGGGGCAAGCTGCACGCTTGCAGTGGCCCCGGCTGGCTGTTAAAAGCTCGGCTAGCAGCCCACTTGGGACAAAGCCTACCAAGCATCCGATGCTTGCACAGCAAGAAATCGAAATCTTTGGGCTTGTTGGACCGGCTGGCGATGGCATCCATGAGCCTGCTGGAAGGCTTCCAGGGATAATTGGGAGTCCCCGGTCCTGCAGGCACGGCACCCCTCAGGTAAGAAACACAGCTCAATGCCTCTGAGGTCCCTGCTCCAGGTGTTTGCGGAATGCATATGCCAGCCCTACCTCGGAGAAGGCATGATGCAAGATGCCTTGCTAGATCGATAAGTTCTGTCAGGTGCTGACCATGGCGAACTTGCCTCGCATGTCTTCTAAGATTGTGGAGACCTCGAGAGGATGAAGACGTCCGAAACGCAGAGACGCCGAGTCCGAGCCCTCCACCTCGGCAAAGCCCCAATGATGCCGAAGCAAATCCTCAAAATCTCGATCGCGCTCAATGGAGGCACCCAGCATCTGGTAGTACCTCCAAGGCATATCTGTACCCAAATGAAATGCTTGGAGGTTCGGGCTCACCCCACAAAGGTGGCGATGGACACACGCGTGTTAGGGTCCAACCCTGCAGCCACTTGCATTCGCAGCGATATTGGAATACAGTGTCTGGCATTGCTTCACCGTCGCCTTGGCCACACAGGCCGAACAGTACCTCCGAGTGTCTCTGAACAAAGAGTTGCAACATTGTTTCGTTTCGGACGCACGATGACTACCCTGCGCCCTGCTCCGAACTGTCACACCTCACATGGTGTTTGGGGCCCTCTGAGTCGTGGGCTCGCTGCCGCTCGTTGTGCGGCATGTTGCTGAAGTGCTGCAGTCCTGCCACCATGTCCTGTCCATAGCTTCCTATAGGCACTACGGCCATCCTTTCGTCTCGCATCAGCAAAGGGCACCATTGGTTGGGCTTCAGAAGCGTCACTATATATGATGTTTATCAGCAGGAAATTGCAAAACGATACGGGTAGTGGAGCTTCTTGTCCTGCACCGCACACTACAAAACTAACGGTCACCTGTGTCGTCATTTAGTGCGCCGTGCGTGGTTCCGTTCGTGTGGTCAGTCCTGAATCTATATACATTGATATTTACCCATGCACTATGGGACTATGGGCCGAAAAGGGCACGACCTGTGTGGTGTCTTGCCGTTTTTGTACACCGTGCGTTCTTTCTACACAGTCTTGTCTCGTATATCTTGGCGTGGGCATGCAATAAAACCAGACTTCGAAGCAAGCACCAAACCTTCTTAATCCGAAATCCAGAAGCCAGAAGCCCTAAAATGCCCTCACCCTAAACCCGCCGTAAACCTGCACGCTAGACCCTACCAACAATCATGAACACCAGCATGTAGGACGATCCCCAAACCCTAGAAACAGAATAAACCCATCTAAAATCCGCAGAAGGAGAGGCAAGCTTAATGGAACGGGAGACGCTACATGTCTTGACGCAGGCAAAAGACGGGGTTCTTGGATTTGACGGGAAGTTGTCCAAAACGGTTTTTGCATGGCCGGCAAAGGCTTCCGGGCCTGCCCGCGTCGTCTGAGTCATACATGAAAAATGCTTTCAAACCAGTTTCCATGAAGCATGAAGGTATGGGACACCTGACATTTCCAATTCAAGGCCAGAGATGTAGATAGAGACATACAGTGATACACATATACATATACATATATAATATACATATATAATGTACATATATATATATATATACTCTCTTTGTTGAGAGGGGGGGCCAACATATGCTTCGTGCAGCGGGTTAGGTTCGGGAGGGGATACCACACATGCGTTGGCCAGGTCCAGATACATTGTCAGTCAGTTTGATACATGCACCTGGCTCTGGGGAATGCTCTAACCATGCTGAAAGTCACTTCAACGAGGTGAGACACCAAAGTTGTCCAAACCAAGACGAAAACGCATGTTTCGGGCCCTCTGGGCTTGGTTTGGATGCTGGAAAACAGTTTTCGGGCGGGGCAGGATGCGAAATCGTAAATCCTTAAACCCGATTCCTGTTGCTTTTTCTCAGACCGAGTCCACGCCCTGAGACTTCGGGGGTTGGACAGGCAGCCACCGGGTCCCGGCGGTCCCGGCCCGGGCCGCCGGGCCTGCACGGTGACCCAGCCATGACCATGAAGGTCCAATCGCCGGAAGGCTGCCTCGCGACCCGCTCGCGACCCGCTCGCGACATGTTAGACATCCCAGAAATCTCTGATTCCTGTCCTTCTACCGACAAGCTGAAGATTTGGTCAGCGTTGGAGCCGGAGTTTAAAGCACACGACATGCTAAATGCTGTAACACAAATTGTGCCACGCGCTCGGCTGCCTGGATAAGGTCGAGCCGTCGGCTGCTGGGCTCCTCAGTACAGGACATGCAAGAGCCGTGTGCGTGTATACTTTGTCATTGGCTTGGCCCTTTGGCAGCTTTCTTTTTCAAAGTTGCTTGCAACGACGAAAGAAGCTTTGAGATCTCCTTGCAACTGGAGACACGGTCTGGAAGTTTCAGAGCACCCATGGTGTAGGTTGTAAGAGTGTAAGCTTTCAGCTTAGGGCCGTTTCAGGCTTCAGGACTTGCGAAATGCTGGTAGCCGACGAAGGAATTCAGCAGTGATTATTGACAGCCAACCAGCTCGCTGGATGTGTGGATGTTCACAGTCATCACGAAATCATGAATCATCATGAATCGTCAGAATCGGGGGCAGCCTGTTTTGCAAAGGTGTCTGAGTCTAGCATCGCGACTGCTCGTTCTGAAACCACGTCAAATCCTAGCGAAATGACAGATCATGAAGGCCATTGAAGGCCTTAACCCAGCAAAGACTCGATTGGAACCACTCGCTGCTCAAGCGCCCAGAAACTTTCAAGTCTAGGAAGTGTTTAGGATTTGCAGATCGGCATTTGGGATCTGGAATCTTTTGGAATTTCTGGTTTATGGATTCGGATTTTTGGGCTTGGGCTTTGAGGCTTGAGTCAGCTGAGTTCAGTCAAGACCCAACACAGACATAGTAACAAAACAACACCACGAATGTCGCGAACACTAGAGGAGCCGTTTCGCAAGTGAGAACTTGCCACAGCCACTGACACGATTCCGAAGTCTCGAGGTGAAGTTAACTGGTTTCTCATGTAAAAAACTAAGAAGCATTTTGACAAGCAACAAAGCGCGAGAAAAAGAGTAATGACGACCAAGGCCAGCTCTGATAAGACTCCAGAACTCGCACGGGGATCTCCTGTAGCCAGGGTTGCGACCATCTCCCCTGCTGCGTGCCAGTGCGCCTTTTTCTGTGCTTTTGTCAGGCACTGCTCACTCACAACATCTGAACGCCCAACATGTTGGTGTCGGGTCCTGAACCCAGTGCTCCAACCTCAAGATGCCGCAGGGTGACTCACAAAACGCCGGGAAAGAGAACTTTGCTCAGAGGTCTGCAGAGACGCTGGTTGACCTCACATCCTGACTGACAAGGCTCGGAGGTCGGTTGAGTCGTGGCCGACATGAGACAGTCCTCTCGGATGGAGGTCAGTGTTGCATCAAGGGTTCCCAAGCTGCGCTGGGACATACCTCAACCACTTGAGACGAGGCCAGAGCCCGGTAGTGGTGTAGTTTGCAAGTGTCGGGGTGTCAAATACGCGCGGCGCACCGCAGGGGACCGGGGATCTGGATTCCACCTGCGCAAAGGCCACGGTATGCCGCGGCAGTCCAGCGCCGGGATTGCAGAACATCTGCAAATGACGTTACAAACGACTCTGGAAAGCAATCAAATCCCTGTTGGGGTTGTGGCGAGAAGAGGCTCGGGTACATGAGCGTTCCGAGCAGAAATCCCATTCAAGCAGAATTTCTGCAAAAAACTCGCCGCCTGTCGATGCCTCCATGCGTCGATGACGATGGGACTCGATGGGCCTTCCTTATCACACAGAGGTCTGGCGCTTGTGCCTGCACTTCTCAAGGACTTTTGGGCAGGGACCTGCACCTCCCAGAAAGGACTCACAGGGCCTCGGACTGGCGTCTCTCGTGCCGAAAGCACCATCTGCAAATCTCGGCACCGAGCTGCCATCGAAAGGACGGATGCCCTCCATCGAAGCCTGTCAGGCCAGGACGGCGCTCGTCAGTGCATGTCCATCGCTGGGCTGGGCCAATATGGCTGGCAGATGCAAATCGCATCACATGCAGGATGCATGCATCCCCACATATCCCCAAGACGCGTGGACCAATCAACATGCACGGAAGCGGCAGAGGGCATTGTCTGGACAATTAGGGTAGACAGTCGGTTGCCAGATCATGCTGCAAAAGGAGGAGTCCAGATGTTACGACTTGACCCCAACTTGGCCTGTGCTTGTGTCAATGATCCGGGCTACTTCTATTTCGACTTCGACAATCTTCGCAGGACCCTAAAACACGAAATTGAGATGTCATGTCCAGACGAGACGGAGAAGCCAGGAAAACACATCCCAGGGACACACTCCTATAAGGTCAACACAAGAAGCGCGGAGTGCTTTTTTCGCTCAGGCTCTTGCCGACTCTCTGGCTTTGGGTGGAGTGCCCAAAAGCTCCTCTGCCTGATGACCTACGCAACGCAGCCAGGTGATTCTCAGTGGCTCGCTTCTTTACCTTTTCCTTCGATCTCCTTCACTTTCCTTCGCATCCTTCGCTCCTCCTTTGCTGTCTGAAACGCCTTGAGATGCCTTGAATCGCTTGCTTGAGGCCCTCCTCCGACACCATTGGACCAGGGACGGCTCCGCTTGTGCGTCCAACAATCCAACACACTGCCGGGTCTCGGTGACGCCGTGGTCCCGTCTTCTGCTTCACTGCTCAGAGTCAGCCTGAAGCAGGTGAAGCTGCCATAGCTGCCATGTCCTGCACCGTTTCAGACGCTTCAGGCTTACGGCCCTTGCAGGGCTCTCAGGATTTGGAGTTTAGGGACGCACAACGTGCTAGAGCATTAGTGAAGCTAGCTTGAGAAGCATCACCACAGCATGCAATGCAGACGTGCACGAGCGGACCCGTGGAGCCTGAGGACTTCAGTCCAACCTAATAATGCTGTCAATCTTGGACTTCGGGCTTCAAGATGAATGACGTTTTCGAGTATTGCAAGCAAACTGCAAGCTCATTGTAAGTCCGACTGACTCAGCAAAGCGACATCCAGAACTGTCTACTTCCTGATTTCAAGATGCGGGGCCATCTTGGGAAAAAGATGGTGAAATGAGAGCACCTTCCGCCAAAGCTGGACCCGCCCGACCCGCCTCCGCCTGCTCCTCTTGCTCCTCTTGCTCCTTCGGCTCCTTCGGCTCCTTCGGCTCCGGCTCCCTTGCACTCGCGGCCTCTGCCACCGGGAGCTCCTGAACAGGGCCCAGGGCTCGGGAACTTGGACTCTCCGCTTGGCCCCTGTCTAGCGTGCGTGGCTCAGCGTGCCTGGGCAGTTGCCGCCTCGGCCTCAACTTCGCGCAGAGCCCTTGGACTGGGACTGGCGGCGAAAGTGTCCAACGTGTCCAGCGGTGCCTCGGCCGGGGCTCAGCGCTGGGCTCCGCCACGTCAGAGCCCAGAGCCCTCTGGGCGCCATGCCGCGTTTGCCGTGCGCTGGGAAGGCCTCGAAAGCTGAAAGACAACTCCCAGTGTCGAGTCAAGCAGTGTCATCTAGTCAGAGTCCGAAATGTCCGAGTCGCTCCGCAGGCTCTGCACAGCCTGCAAGGCACGGAACATGTAAGCTATCTTCTGCAAACGTATGTCACGGAGGAGTGAACCCAGCTATAAGCTATCTTCGGCTTCGGGCTTGCGATGGCTTGCGGCTTGCAGGGAGTTGCTTTCGTCAAACCTACTTGTCACTTACTTCGGCTGTGCTCAGCACGCTAAGTTTGATGGTCTTCTGACCGATTCTACACGCTTTGAAATCTGGGAAAGGGAGAAGAGCTGCGACCATCACTATCACGTCGGCTCCTTGCGCCCCTTCGTCGGCTGCGCGTAGGGCAGCATTCACCTCTCGGACGTCGCGCAGCAGCTCCATGCGACGGGTCTCAAAGACCTGCAATGAGGGCAGCTTGCACTGGGAGTAGTTCCAGAAGTTTCCGCTATGACGATTGCTCTGCACGGCATTACGACTTGTTATCGCAACACGTTCCTCAACCGAAGCGAACTCATCTGGATTGATCTCGGCAAACTCCTCCAGGCAACCATGGGTGGCACACCGAAGACCCTGGCAGCACAACACGAGGGAGTAGCGTAACAGCGTAACACCACTCAGCTCACAAGGCCACTTGGCCTCCATGTCCAGCAGCCCTTGCTGAAACAGCTCCAGAGCAGCACCTGCAAAGATCGGCCAAGCCCAAAGTGGCCCTTGGCCCTTGTAGCCGCACAGCACAGCTCCGCACGGCACTCTACAGGGCGCCTGCGTAGGTGTCGAAGACGCGGATGCCGCGCATTCGGAGGTCCGCTCGGCGCTGCTGGGAGCTCTTCGGCACCACACCGTCGGACCTCCACAAAAGCACGGGAGACACGGGGAGAAGACCCAAAGCTGGAAGGAGGCAGCTCTTGCTTGCGCCGAGCCTAACCACGTCGTGAATCAGCGCTGCTCGCCGCGCAGGTCCACCAGCCTGGCCCATAAACTCCTCCGCAAAGTCCACGTCCCCTTCACCACTGTCCCCGATGAAGACGAAGCGGGCTTCAGGATGTAAAGTTGCGAATTGCCCGAAAACCTCTGTCTTACGCTCTGCCATCGCTTGTCGAGCTTGCTCCGGCGCGAAGAGAACCTGGGCAACGGCCTTCAAAGATCCGGGCAACACAACCGCCTCCGCTATGCCAATGTCATCGACCAGAAGCCGCCTGAGACGAAAAAAGCATTAGCTCACAGAGCCTGAGGCTGCCCTAGGCTGCCCTGGGCTGCATCTGCTGCCTCCCCCCTGCTCCCGACTGCTCCGGCGCTCCCCGAAGCCTGGTCTGGTTTTCCCAGATCGGTGGTCTTGCCGAAAGGAACGTCACGCGGCCACCCAAAGCCGTGAAGAGCGGAAGAGCGCCGGGAACGGGACCCGCCGGAAACTTCGGTCCACCTGCGAGGAGCGCAGAGTCGGGGCGCGCAATAGCGCAGTACAGAGGCGCACAGCACAGTCGGGCCCCGCCTGCTCCGAAGGTCCCAACCCAGACCGTCATGTCAATGTCAGACAAAATGTGCACCGGCAGCTGATGCGGCTGCAGCTCCGCAGCTTGGTCCACGAAGTGCTGAAGCAGCGACTCCCGTCTGACCTGCAAAAGCAAACGGAGGACCGGACGGACCAGTCGTGAGAGACCTTTGCACCTGATCAGAAATGACCGAGTAGATGAGGTGACGGAGATCGCGACCGCCGCCAGCAGCATCGACTGCGGTGCGAGCCCCAGGGATTGGGGTCGAAGTTGCGGCAAAGCGAGGTTGCCGTGGCCGGGCCTAGACGTTTCAGCTCCAGGAGCTCCTGGCCAGCTGCACCCGCTATCAGATATCACCCGTGCTGCCGCTGCCCTCCGCTGCCCTCCGCTCTCCGTCCTTGTTTTCGCTGCGGAGGATCAGTTTGCACAGGACCGCCTCTCAGAGCAGGCAGCCGGTCGCTCGAGCGCTCTCGCAGACTGGGCCCACGCCTCTTGCACCGCAAGCTGTTCTGCGAACTCGAGATCCGACACCTCCTGGCCCGGACCGACACCGGGGCCTCTGGCAGTTCCACATGGCGATGCAGCGCACGTCGCCGGTTTCCTTCGGCCCTCGATTCAGCCAAGTAGCGAGGAACCGAGAGCTTCTCCACCAGAGCACCTGCACCAAGGCGCCAGCATGCGCCAGCGACACCCCCCAGCGGCAGCCATGGGCAGCCGAAATGTGACGGCGGCCTATGAGACGGCTGCTGGCCAAGGGTGAGAGGCTCTGCGACTGGAGATGCTCCGAGAGAACTCGGAGTAGCGACTGGCTGCCTTCGGCACTCGCAATTCTTCAAGCCACAGTGAGCACAGACGTAAGCCGCCCGCCCTAGCCTGAGAAGGAGGATGCCTCGTCGTCGGACAGGACCAAAGACCTCCAGTCTGTAACTTAAAGCTGTCTTGCGTGGCGAAAGGTTAACTATGCCATCATAGAGTTGCAAGTGACAAAGCACGACGACGAAGACGAGCACAACGACATACGACCACTAAGACGACCACGATGACCACTAGTCACTAGTTACCACGACCGCCAGCAAAACCACGAGACAACCACCCAAGAGACCACTAGGAGACAACCAAGAGATCACCAAGAAACTACCAGGAGATCACGAGGAGACCCCAGAAGACCATCGAGACACAACCAGGAGACAACGAGCCAACACGAGACCACCAGCACACAAGGCCAAAATGCGTTCCCACTTCAACGGCATTCAGAGGATCGCAATGTGTGCCCAATAATGGGAGAGTCTGGGAGCATTGCCAAATACTTTGCCCCCTGGACTGGCAGGATTCAACAAGTACCAGTGCTGGCGAGTGGATTCAAATAGTTGGAGGTCAACATGTGGCCGCATGTACTGGAATGTAGATACAATGATGGATTTTCGGGGGACGGAACTCGACGGATCCAGCAAAGCGCATGCACCGCCACATCGATGGCTGCGTTTCGAGGAACGTTTCTGCGGTGCGCCGCGCAGCTACCATGAGCAATTCGTTTAAGCGTAAGCTTCGAATTGCTGTCGGGGCACAGAGGCGTTTGCAGGAGCAGCTCGTTCACGAGTTTCCGGTCAGCCGCCGCGAGCTTTGTCTGGAGCTCGCTCTGGGCCCTTTGAACTCCCGCCGGAGTCGCCAAGTCCTGCCTGGACCAAAAGCACAAGGCCTCTTCGAACTCCGCAAAGTTTGAAGGCTCTGACGGCTCCTGCGAAGCCCCGAGACCTCCGGGCTCGAACCAGCGAACGGAGAGGCTGGCGTAGCCCCCACCCAAGAGCCGGAACGTCCCGGCGCCACGCGCGCAGCTCAGAGGAATACGCGCTTCTCCGGCCATTCTGTCACCCCGCAAGCCACCCGCATCCATGACTCGAACGGAGAGCTCTATCTCTTGTGGTGCAGAGTCGTCTTTGCAAAACTCCACGCGAGAAGGTGACACATACGCTTTGGGCAGCTGGAGCTTGCAAAGCGCATTCCAACGAGGATGCCTTTGGCGAAGCGCAGGGGACGTGTTGCACTCCGGTTTTCCGGAAGCTTTTGCTGCCCAAGGCTGCCCTCGATAGCCGGTTGCGAGTGCGCAGTAGGGTACGGGAAGCGACTTGGAGCCCATTGACAAATCTGCAGCTGCGATCACCTCAACCTGCACAGTTGATGCATCTGAGAGGACCTCCGGGAAGTAGCCAGCACCAGCCTGCGGCAAGAAGCCGGAACTGGCCTAGTGACGGCGGCTAGCTGCTAGCTAGTGCTGGCACAGCTATCCCTGTGTTTCGAACCTGTTCGCCGTGCTTGGCTGTGTGGCGGAGAAGAACCATCGCATCCTTAGCTGGTACAACTTGTGCACGATGTGCAGACCATTCCCGTTCACCACATGCAAGCAGAACGACTCGTGTCTCTTGGGCGACGCGTCGAACCTCGCGGCCTGCACTTGCCTCACGCAGGCGATCGGATTCACAGGGTATGGATTCCAGATGGACTCCCACCACCGAAGCCGACAGCGGAAAACATATCAACGGTTGGCCCAGCCACGAGGTCCGACAAGACCCTCCCGAAGCGATTGGAGCTCGAAGATGCTTCGGGTCCGCCTCCAGCCTTTCAAAAGACGGCAGCACACATCTTAGATGTTGGCCGACACTAAATGCAATGAAGATTGAAATTCATGCTTCACGAGATGCCTCTGGCATGCGGAACCACGACATCGCAAGCCAACGCAACGAACCAGTCAGAGATCAAGAGTTGCAGGCCACGATAGGCCATGCACTAATACGGCTGATATGGGCATGACGAGATGAAAGATCGACATGCGTCGTCTCTTGAGAAACGCAAGGGCAGCAAGAACAACAGCACCAATCAATGTGCACTTCTTCAAAACATTCCCCACATGGCAACCTATCGGCGTTGATCTTTACAGTATGTGCAAAGAGGCCTTAATGTTCCAAGGGTATTGCAGGACCAGGTTTGTCAAACATATCCTCGATCCCCTGCAACTTTGGGGCAAACTTACATGTATGTTCCTTTTATCGTGACACCCTGCATGAAAACATCAATTGGAGATCTACGCCTGGGAATCTCGCGGCTATGAGGCCCATCAGTGACTTCACGAGGGATGGAGAGTCGTATGTACCCAACGTCGATGATGGTGGCAGATGTCGTGGATTGCACTAGTCACTGATTTTGTGACCAAACACAGCTTTACTGGGTGGGTTGGGCGGAAAAGAACGCATCGGCCCGAGCTTTTATGGATCTTTGTCTCACGGATCAGTCTAGATACATCCTGAATGGTTCCTTGCAAGCTAGCGCCCACTGGGTCCCTAACTTTAGCGCCCTTTCCCCTGAGTTTTCTATGGTAGCAGCCTGCAAATGCTCCACTTAGCTCAGGGCGGAAGAGCGAATGTTGAAAACATGTCTAATTCGGTGACAATGTCGGCCGTCCCGGTCGTGCGGAAAATGCGAAGCCAACTCTTTTCTCCCTGTTCCACGGCTGACCCGGGAAGTCCTGCAGGTGCCTCGGGCAGCTGCAGCCACTGTAGTTAAAGCTGAGGGGGTTTCGGAGCACCCACGCTGCCCCGCACCCACCAAGGGATTCACTGAGAAGGTCGAATCATCTCGGGGCCCTCTGCTGGTTGACCAATCGAGCTGAATGCCAAGCAGGGACCAGCGATGGCCAGCAAGATGCCGGGATCCTTTTATGAAGATTCATTCGTGGTCATCCTGAAGTACCGCGAGCCTTCGCTACGCTGCGGACTCTCTGTGTCAGGCTCTAAGACAGTCGACAATACCACAAGGACCACATTTCTAAAGCCCTCGTTCGAGGACTCTACTGCACAAAGGGCTTGGCTGCCAGCTGCACAAGGAGGAGCCGCAGCCAGCTCGAGCTACTTCAGAGAGACACGAGTCCAGGTTTCAGAACTCGCTGGACTTGCTTGAGCGGGACCTCCTGCAAGCCGGACGGCATGCTTACACAGACGAATCCCATTCCCGCGACGCCAGCGTATGCCAGCCTGACTCTTGTCTTGGAGGCTCCTCACCTTGCTCTTGACAACCGTGTTCAGATATCCGCCTGGAGGGGAGAGCGACAAGTCCATGTTTCTCCAGAGTCCCTTGTGATCACATCGTCCTGCCTTGCGCGCTAAGTTCTTCAACCATGGATTGAAAATAATCAGGGTCGCCATCGAACACCTGGCTGAAATCGAGATTCGACTTCCAAAGCAACTCGAGAGGGGCACCCACAGCCAAAACCACCCGCCTTGTCCAGAACCGCCGCAAGACGTTTGCACTTGGACCGCTTGGACCTGTCCCAAATCTCCACAGCAGAGACGAGCGAAAAAGTTTCCTTTGCATGGCTGGGGGTCCAGCTTGCAGGGTCTCGGCCTGAACCTTTTCGGATGTGGCAAATGGCAAAAAGCACACCTCGGCTGCAACGCAACCCCCATGAGCGGCCATCAGCTGTGACAATGTGCGAGACGAAGAAACGAACTGCTGGCGACCTTTCAACGTGGTCTCGCGTTCGCGCAGCTTCAATTTTCAAAGAATCAACCATCCCGTCATTGCATCAATGACTCGTGAGGCGAAACGTCTTTGAATGGACGGAGGTGTTGCAGAAATCAAAGTTGGAGCACCAAAGGTATCTGTAGGATCTTAGTAGCAGTAATTGATTAGTGGTATGAAGGGGTGTAGTTGAGCGGGCATGCATCTGGGGAACTGGCGCTGCACCGTTTGTACATCCACTTTTCGCATAGACCTGCAGCATTTGGGATCACTGCGTCTCTGGAATGATGGTCGACTGAAGGCCGGCTGAGGTGCAGACATAATGGCAAGGCCTACAACACTTCTCACAGAACGATAGGTTCGAGAGAGAGAGAGAGAGAGAGAGAGAGAGGGGGGGAAGAGAGAGAGAGAGAGAGAGAGAGAGAGCGAGAAGAGCGAGAAGAGCGAGAAGAGCGAGAAGAGCGAGGTTTGCTTGGGCTTTGGGCTTGCAGGGCTTTTACTGGGGAAGAGGGAGAGAGGGAGAGGGAGAGAGGGAGAGAGGGAGAGAGGAGAGAGGGAGAGAGGGAGAGTGGGAGAGTGGGAGAGTGGGAGAGAGGGAGAGTGGGAGAGAGGGAGCAGCGTTCCGCGTCGGCCGAGGCGCGAGCCTGGCCTGCACGTGCCCAGCGCGTGGGAGCCACCAGCTTCGCCTGAGAGACACAAACACGCGAGATCACGCGAGGCCGAGGCCACGTCTCACCGATGTGGTGTGCTTTGGGTACACACGCACACAGACAGAGACACACACATGCAAGGGAAACCTGCCTGTGCCTGCGTCGGCAGCTGTGTTGTCATCGGCTTCGGAGTCCAGGTCCTGACCATGCTGACGTTGAAGCATGAATGCTGGGCGCCATACGCCGACCTTGTTTTCGAGAAGCTCGGCCAACTCCTCCACTTTTTGAATGTCAGCATCCCAAGCAGTCCTGAGGGAAAAACGTCCCACACCCGTTCAAGGAGATCTTTCAGTCGTGCACAAGTCAATGCCACATTAGGCTTCGCTGGGTGGTTTTATCTGGCCTACCTCAAGAGCAGTTTGCAGGAGCAGCTCCTGTTGGTGGGAGAAGTCTGTTTTGCCACTTCTTTGAGTTGCGCATAATACTTTTTGACATCGTCCTGGGCGAGCAGAAAGGCAATGACATCCGAGCGGATGCCGTGTCGAGTTTCATTGATCCTGCCTTGGCCCATGCAACTGGCATCATGTACCCGTCCTCGCACATCTGAACAGTAGGAAGGCGAAAAGCCTGCGTATGCCCTGCACTCTCGGTTTCAGAAGACGTCCTTCTTGCCATTGGGGTGGTGGCTGTCCGAGCTTTCGGTCAAGCTGGTCTCGGGCGAACAGCGACAGGGCAAAACGCTTGAGGCGCAGCACTGTTCAATAATATTCCAAACCGCGCAAATTCCTGCAAACTGTAGAAACCAGTGCTTCGATTTTCTGATTTCAATTCCAACATGCCGCACGAAAGTCACGGAACCGAACCGCGAACCGGGAAACCGCAGGAACCGAACCGTGCAGGAACCGAGCCGCACACGAACGGTACAAGGCTAAGCCGTAACGAATCGAACCGCGGGCCGAACAATTTTCGGCGTGCTCGCCCAATCAGCCTAAATGGGTATGTGTTCGGTGCTGGCTTGGAACACACCACATACCCATTTGATGCCTAGCTCTCCTTTGCCAGCCTAAATTAGGTACGCTTCCGGTGCCACGATATGGGAGCAAGGTGTAGTTTTCCGGATTTGTGCAATCCGCCGAACCGTACCAACCGGTAGGCTCACGGCAAACCGTAGCGAATTTGACCGTGCCCACCCTGATGCTGGCAAGACACAGAGCTGGAAGGATCGAAGTCGTGGAGCAAAAGCTGCGAGCTTGAGGCCTCGCCGTCCCGCGCAGCGGCGCAGCACACGAGTTTATAAACATAAGTGCGTGTTCTCTGACACTGCAGCAAGTTGGGAGTGGGAGACTAAGAAGTACAAGCCACAAACCGTGGTTGAAAAAATCGTTCGAAGCTGACTGAGCTTGCTCAGTAGGCCGGTGCCAAGAGAACACCAACACAAAAACAAAATCAAACGGGAGGACTGAGCGCATCATTTCTGCAACCGGCCGGGAACTCCCCAACCTTTCCACAACACCAGAAAGCCCCGGAAGCAGGCTCTCCGTCACCCTACCTGGTGCTATAACACGGACCCTAACCTAGCCTAACCCAACCTCACGTAGCCCCAAGTTAAGACAAGCCTGAAGCCAGGTTTGGGTTTAGGGTTTAAGTTGGACTTTGGATTGCACTGTAGGAGTTCAGGCTTTCAGTCGGACTTTCGACTGCACTGGGACATGATTCAATTAAGGTGCTAACGCGTGGTTGGGTTATGTTAGGTTGGGTCAGGTTAGGGTACGTCCGGGTCGGGCTCAGTTGGGTTACGGCTCGCTTCGGTTTAGACTGCGGTGGGGTGCGTTGTTGGGGTGGGGTCTGGATGGGGCTTGTGTCGGCTTAGGTCAGGTTGTGCTAGGTTACTTTGGTTCAGAACGGTGGTTGGTTGGGTAGGGTGGGGTTGGTCTGGGTTGGGTTAGGCAGGGCGGGATGAAATTAAGTGCGACAGTTTGGGTCTAGGTTGCTTTGAGTTAGATTAGGTCACGGGGTGGGTTTAGGTTGGCTGCAGTAGTTTGGGCCAGGTTTGGCTGGGCTAGGTGGCCATAAAGATTGGTTGGGTTGGGCTGGGCTACGATCGCGATGACGTTAGGTTCGGATGGTTCGGATACATCAGGTTGGGCCAGCTTCGGTTAGGTCAGGGTCGGGCTGATATCAAGCCAAGGCTAGGTGGGGTTGGGTTAGATTGGATTAGGTTCGGGTAGGAGTTAGGTGCTGTGGCCTTGGATGTGGTTAAGTTAGGTATGGTTAGGTTACGTTACGTTGGGTTACGTGCGGGGTTGGGTTAGAACCGCTTAGGGTCAGTTTACGGCAGGGCATGAGTGGGGTTGGGTTTGGCTTGGTGTTGTGTTATGAGCGTAGGTTACCTTATCTTGGCTCAAGTTGGTTTCTACCGAGACAGCGCGATGGTGTATTCTCAGCAGTGGATATGACATGGCGCATTGAGTGGCATGTTGGAAGCAGAAGAACTTGGAGATGTGCACTGCAAGGCTTTGGACATGCTTCCAGCAACCTCGACGAAGAAAGAAGAACTTTGA